AAAGAGTGTTGCTAGAACAATCAGGCATGTATGATACATCAGAATTGTCACTCCTTCCATGTACTTTTTGCATGGATTTATGTATCTGAAAACTTCCTCTGTGTGTCACTTGCTGGCTGTACACTGGCTTTCCTTTTTTAAAACAGTAGATGGTTCACTTCAAACTCTGTAGCTGGTGCAGACTACACATTAACACATTCTTAGGTGGAACATACAGGGAGTAGAAGAACAGCAGAGACATATTCTGAGATGTTTCGGGAATGGTACAAATCATTATTGTAGAGGCGAGAGCTGCCCTGTCACCTCTAGAAGTGACGTAGTGGACCATTTCTTAGGGAAGATAAACAGATTAAAAGGAAACTGTTTTACTCTGAAACAGATTAAAGAATGAGGGTCAGAGTTTATCTCAACCTGATTTGATCATACACATGGGAATGTACTCTCCCAGCCTATTTCTTCCTTTGAGTCAGAGCAAATGTACTACATCATCTTTCCACGAGGGTGGGGGTTGATTGGAAGAAGCCTCAGGAGTCTAACCTGAATGGACTAAAACAACTGAAGCTGTAATCAGAGTTAAGCAAGTGGCTTGTGTTGGCAGCACAATGCTCTGGCTGATGCTTACAGTAATGTCACTGACTCAGGTTCTGTGTATCAGGCCAAATAAGTCAATATGAAAAGGAAAAGTTTAATAAGCTCTGAAGGGAAGTGGCCATTGACTATATTTGCCACAAGTCTGTTTCCCCTGCTCTGTGCCTCTCAGAATGAAGGTCAGCAATGCTGAAAGGGGTGGGGGAAAAGAGTTTACAATTAGAACAAGTGGTACCTCTGACCCTCCAGTTTAACTTGTAATCACTTTTCCACTGGAAACAGAGTTAGCCAACAGGCAGCAGGAGCTATCAGCTACTTAAAGGCAGGTGATGGGACACCTGAAGAATACATTCTTCATTTGGAAAAAGGCCTGAACTAGGATGTGTTTCCTCTGAAAGGTTCACCAATCAGATGTAGAACAAGTAATTCAATCCTAACCTCTCTCACAGGGTTTCAAGAGGAAGTCTCTAGCACTGACATTCCCAGCTAGTCAGTGGCATTCACTAGCAGCATCTACAAAGAATGTATTTCCTTCATTCAGAAGAACATTTTAAGCCAATCTCTTCCACACTTATGAAACCCACAAATCCTTATTCTCAAGTGACTTCCCTAGGCAACAAAATGTTAGTAAATTTTAAAGTTCTTAAATTTTAAAATAAAAAAAATATTTAAAAGTTCATCACAGACTACAGGCACCACTTCTGCTTCTCCACATGTTGAAGAAGTGAAAAAAACCCTCAACATTTTTTAAACCACGTTTACTGGAGCAACGTATTTAGAAAATCGAATGTCACTGTCAGTAAACAGAAGATTTGCATTTTTTATTCCCATGTGCATTCTTTCTCTCAGAAAATCTGCTTTATAAAAACTTGGGAAACACCCCAGATAAAATAGTTCTGATTAATGTTTGGTGTTCTGTTTTGGGTTGGGTTTTTTGTTTGGTTGGTTTGTTTTGCTTTTTTTCCTCGACTGCAGAAAAGCATGCTTGAAGTTCCATGGACCCTGCTCATGGAACTGAGAAATATGTAATCTATATCCTATGGTATATGGTTTTCAACAAAGATGAACAATGCCTCTTTAGGGCTCTTTAAGCCCTTTGTCACACAGCTGAAACATATAGCCCAGATATTTGAAATACAAGTGGCTTTCTAAATGAGGGATTAAAAATCCCAAGATATATTAGTTTTCTTTCAAATTTCTCCCCATGAGTTCAGCAGTTGGAGGTAGCTGAGTGCATGTTCAGCTCTGAGAAGAAACTCACTCAAAGCCACCGCTCCTTGATGGTTATGGCTACCTTTGTGAGGGTCTCCAATCACGCCTATAATGCCCTAGAGCAGGCTGTGCTATTTCAGCCTACTGCTGAGAATTCTCCTTCAGACTTCACAGTCCCTTTGGCTCTTCCTCTTTTTGCACATGTGAAAGCTCTGCTTGTGGTGCAGGGGAATTTCTGGGTGGAAGGGAGAAACTGTTGATGTTGCAAATGTCACTTGAAAAAGAATGAAAAAAATGTTTTAATCAATGCAGAAGCTGAGTAGTTTGGCTACTTCCCCTGAGCACTGCATCATCCTGCACCCCTGCTGCAAAGTGATACATCCGCTTTGGCACTCTCCCTTGGAGGAAGTAGGGAGGCAGGGGCTGAAAAGCAGACAGCTGCACATCCTCACCTAAAGCAGCAGGGACGAAGGGTGTGCTCATTTTTAGTTTTTAAGACTTTGGACAAGTCCACTCAAAGCTTAGAAAGTGCAAGAATGAGCACCCAACGGAGAGAACTGAGGTCAGGACTGACAAGGTTGAACCCTGAGCTTAGGAGGGGCCTGCCTGCCAGCAGAATTGACAGGGACAGCAGCAGTGAAGATCTGGTGACTCTGAGGCCAGTTCAAGCAAGGCACTTTTGGAACTGCCTTTGATTTTGACTGCTGATATGAGCAGAACAAAATCAGCCCTTCCAGCACAGGCTAGGTTGGGGTACTTCTCTATGGAATCTGTGTAAAAAGTGAGTGCAGGATCAAAACTCAGAGCATATCTGTATGTTTGCATACTGGCTAGCCAACATTTTCTGGCTTGATTACAGGAATCTAAGAATAAATACGTTCATTTGCTTATAAATAAATGCCTGAGTCAAACACCACAATTTCCAAAATATGAGTGCAGCTTCCTCCTTCTGAGCACTGGAATGAGTAAAAGCTGGCTGCACAGGCAGGCAAGAAAATGGTTAAAAGAAACAACCTTTCAGGTTTTGCAAACATGCTCCTAAATAACTTTCCCCACCCAGAACTATTATTTAGGGAATCAGTCCTTTCTTAAGCTTCAAAAGATCCTATTAATACAGCATAACAATAGAGAAGTTGAGCTAAAAAAAAAAAGCTTCCTGTATGTGATTTAAACTAAGCACTAGCCATCTGCACAACCCTTAACACTACCTAAGCCTTTAGGGAGTAGGCCTCAGGTGCCAAGGAAAATGGAAACACTGTACAGACCCAGTTCAGCCAGGAAGCTTCAGAACACAGCATCACTTTGTCTGCAAATTCTTTAGGTTGGATTAAGTGCCTTATTTGAACTTTGGTATCACTGACGTTTGGAAACAAGAAATAAAATAATAGCAATAAAATTAGGAGCCGCACTTAAACGCACAGAGTAGCAGAAAGGCACAGCCAATATCACCTGACAGAAATACTTCAGTGCTGGTTGCTGCTTCTGCAAGTTCTAAAGTTGCTGCAAGTCACACTGCAGACCAAGAATGTATTTGGTATTGGCAGAATTCAGGCTAAACATATCAACACTGATGTATTGCAAGCTTGTCTAGCATCTTCAAAAAGCCCCAGAAACAGAGTCACAAAATACGGGTCCAGACCCAGGACTGTGATCTAGTTATTTTGCAAGTTCCTGAGACACAAAACAGCCCTTTGAGCTGACTGCAGAGCAACTTTGCTTTGCAGCAATTCTGAGGTTTCAAAGTTTGGTTTCAATTCCGCACTGGAATGAAAGCTAACACTTTTTGAATGGGTATTTTTTGCATAAACAGAATTTTGTTCAAATGTTGCATTTTGGCAGGAGATCTGAGTGCTGAACCCCCACCAGTGAGGTGACTATTCTCAAGAATGGCAGCTCCAAGTTCAAGTCTTGCTCTGTTTGATTCAGGGAAGAGCTCTTAATCTCTGATCATTCTGAATCAGGCAAAATGTGAGTTTGAGCCTTATGTGCATACCAATTTCTGAGCAAAATACTAGGCAATAAAATATGGAAAAGTCTGCCCACCTCTTCGGTTCTATGTTCTGGATGAAAACTAACTCCATAAAATGCTTCATTTTCAGGGAAACAAAGTATCACTCTGAGAGCTGTTTGGGGTAATTCAGTTTATCTCTTTTGGAGAATCCTCAAGGGACAAATGAAATTATGTAGTTCAGTGTCTCATGTACCTTCCTGACTTTGGTTGGTGGGTTGTTGGTTTTTTGTTTGTTTTATTTTTTGTTTGGTTTTTGTTTAGTTTTATTTTAGCATTAAAACATCTTGGAAATCTTCAGTGAAACATTTTTGGATGGGAAAGGTTGATTTTCAAAACAGAAACTCCACTTCTGACAGTACTGTACTTCACCCTGAAACCTCTATCTTGAGGACAACATGGTATGAAAGTTTATCTAACTTTTGTGTTTAAAAACTGTTAATTTTACAGGCATTGGCTTTTGGGATTTGTGGATGGGGAGCTTTTTCACTGGAAAGGGGGCTTTTTCCTTAGGAAAATGGTTGGTCCTGACACAAAATACTTCAAAATAATCAAACT